TGTTACCATGTCATTATAATAAGACCAATATGAAGTTTCTTTCAAACAGATTTCCTTCATTTAATTGGTTTGGAAATTAGATGGTAACGGGGTGGTGGGGGAGGTTCATCAGAACATTAGGAAGAAAGCAAAACACCAGGAATTCAAAAACAACTACTATATAATTCTTATGGGGAATACCATAGGGAAAGGGCTTGGTCTCTAGTCTCAAGAACGTAGGAATATAGATGGGAAGAAATTAAACATGCATCAGAAAACCTTACTATAGAATATTCAATAAAAATATATACTCCAGGGATGGGAAGAATGAACTAAAATATTTGAATAAGAGCTGAGACTTAAACCAAAGTTTTGAATATAAATTTAACCCAGATCAAAAAAGGGAAGCCAATCAAGTAAAGAAGAGTAAAAGGTAAGTCTTAAGTGGTCAAGGAGGCTTTGTCTTTATAAAGTATTTCTTGGGATGCTTGGGCGGTTCAGTCAGTTGGGAGTCTGACTTTGGCTCAGGTCATGATCTCGCAGTTCACAAGTTTGAGCCCTGCATCGGACTCTGTGCTGACAGCTCAGAGCCTGGAACCTGGTTCAAATTCTGTGTCTACCTCTCTCTCTGTCTCTCCCCTGATAGCACTCTGTCTCTTCTCTCAGAAATAAACATTTTTAAAAATTTAAAAATAAAAAAGATAAAGTATTTCTTTATTCTGTCCATCTTTGAATTGATTAAAGCAGGCAAGGGAAGGTCTTGTATCTAAACCTCAGTTTCCAAGGAGGTGTGTACATATATGTATTTACATGCGTGTCACATATGTTGGCATCAAAACATGAAGATTTGATTTGAGCATTTACATGACTCTAAGCTATTCCACTCAAGTAATATGCAAGGGGGCACCTGGGTGGCTCAGTGGGTTAAGTGTCCGACTTAGGCTCAGGTCATGATCTCATGGTTCATGAGTTCAAGCTGCGCACTGGGCTCTCTGCTATCAGCATGGAGTCCACTTGGGATCCTCTGTCTCTCCCTCTCTCTGCCCCTCCCCTGTTCCCTCTCTCTCTCTCTCTCTTTCTCTCTTTCTCTGTCTGCCTCTCCTCTGCTTGTTCTGTCTCTCTGTGTCTCTCAAAATAAATAAGCTTAAAAAAAATCTACTCTGGCAGATATCTGATTCTTGGGGAAGAAGAAAAAACTAAAACCCATAAAAATGAAAGTTGTGAAAGATATATAAGAAAAGCCAATCAATATTCTAAGATTATAAAAAAACATTTTCTGATTGTCATCTGAGATGAATGCCTCACCACTTATAATTCCATTTTTAATAACGAGCACCAGCAAACACTTAAATAGCATCTGTTATGTTATAAGCTTCATATAATTAACTCATTTAATCTTCACAATGAGTTTGGGGTAGATACTCCTATTCTTCCCATGTTATAGAGGAGGTAACTGAGATTCAGAGAAATGAATATTACTCTTTCCTCCAGTTTTCCACACTTTACTTGTCAGAATGTAAGTAGAGGTTAAAAAAAGACATGCAGGATTTCTCTGAGTACAGGCTGAAATCTAATATTTTTATAAGTTGAGAAACATTACTTTTTTCCTTCATTGACTCAGGTGAAATGATGCATGATAGTATGTTGGCACAGAGCCATAAACGTAAATGTAAAATCAATCCATGAGGCTAAGAGGTAGAGTTGCAGATATAAACGTGCTCTAAAAATGGCATGTTTATCAATAGACCAAAGAACAATCTCTGAATATTTTCCCACTGGATTGAAGAATGCATCTTTTTCATAAGACTTACACAGAGATAAATGACCGTATCATTCACAGCGATAAAGGTAGCTAGCAGTAAAAAAGCATTTGAAATAGCTTCTGTCCCTACTGAGCAGTAGAAAAATATTACTCCCCAGGCAGAGTTAGTTGTTTTTCTTCCAAACTCTGCAAGCACTTTCTATGTAGCTTTCCTTAGCATTTGTATATTAGATCACAACATAATTATTTGTGCCTGCAATGCAGACCATGAGTTCTGGAGGATAGGGGGTGAATTTATTCATCCTGGGATTTAAAACTCATCTCTGCATCTAGTAGAATAAAGGTTTATTGGATGAATAAATGAATGAATGATTCGAGAAGTGATTTTTAATAAACTCTCAGGCACTACACAGCATTACAGAAAAGGTTTAAATATCAATGAAGTCATATGGGTGTTTGTGATTTTAACAACAGATTCAAGTCTCCCTTGCCTAGTATTTAAGGCCTTTCCAAACCAGCCCTAATCTACTTTCTCAACCTTATCTACTCCCTCTTCCTAGTTGTATCCTAGGCATAAATTACTTTCTGTCTCTCTCTTTTTAATGTTTATTTATGTATTTTTGAGAGACTGAGATAGAGTGAGTGGGGGAGGTACACAGAGAGGGAGACAAAATTCCAAGCAGGCTGCACGTTGCCAGCGCAGAACCGGATGTGGGGCTCGAACTCATGAATTACAAGATTATGACCTGAGCTGGAACCAAGAGTCAGATGCTTGACCAGCTGAGCCACCCAGGCGCCCCAAGAATTACTTTCTCGTTCTGACACAAGCTCTGTGCTTTCTCATCTCTACACTCTAACTCGGTAATCTCCAAAAGCTTTAAATTATTTAGCTATAGTATAAAATACCTGAGCATGCTTATTTAACACTGTGCTAATACATTGTGTTTATAATAAAACAATCATAAAAACAGATGAAAACAGACATTTTAAGCAAATGAGGAAAGATATATAAATACAAGTTTTAATTTTTTCATCCTGGACACGATGGATTGATCTGGATGTACTTCACTTTGAAAATCACTGATTTACAGGAGAAGAACAAATCTTGTAGAGCTTTTATTGAAAATTAAGTGAATCAATACATGTAATACACTTAGAACAGTACTGGTCACAAAGGCCCAGTGTATATGTTATCTCTTCCAAGAATTATTTGAATGCACTTCTTATGAGGTTAGGATTTCTCACTGTAGGAGGCACTAACCCTACAGAGTTTGGCAAAAAGCTGAGCCTTAGAAGCCAAAATAAAGTAGAAACAGTTGGAAAGGTTGTGTTTATGGAAAATGATGCAAAGGAAAAAAGAGGTAATTATTAACCTCAAGAAAAATAAAGTACACAAAAAGCAAATATAATCATACTATATTATCTGGCTCTATAGTACATGATGTTTACATAGGCCTAATCAGACAAACACTAACTGCAAATTTAGCAAAAACTTGTGATATAACTAAATGGAAAAGATGGGGTTTTAACATAGCCCCTCAAATCCTCAGTTTTTATTAGCAAGTCTAAAGTTTAGGAATGTTACTTTAAAACTTGCAGATACCTATCAGAAGAAACAGCTAAAATATTTCAGTGATTATCTCTGAAGAATGTGATTGGAAAGCTAGAACACTTTGGTACTATTTAATTTTTAAATTTTGTGCATGTATATCAATCATAGATTTTGAAAATGAAGTCAATTTTCTTAGATTTTAAAATTAATAACCTCCCACATAAAGATGGCAAGCTGAATGTATACGTTCAACTCTACCCTCTACAGAAACTTCAGTGACACAACAGAGAAAAAATGTAGAAAGGTACAGAGAGATCCCAGAAAGAAGAGGGGGGGAGAAAGATAAAGAAATAGAGAATAAGAAAAGATCAGGGGTACTGGGTGGTTCAGTTGGTTGAATGTCCAACTTGGGCTCAGGTCATGATCTTCCAGTCTGGGAGTTCGAGCCCCAATTCAGGCTCTGTGCTGACAGCGTAGAGCCCTAGAGCCTCCTTCAGATTCTGTGTCTCCCTCTCTGTGCCCCTTCTCCAGCTCATACTCTGTCTCTGTCTCTCTCAAAAATAAACGTAAAAAAAAAAGAAAAAAAAAAGAAATGATTGGAAATTTAATGCAAGTGTTTTAGGAATCAAATAATAAGACTCCAGGAAGAGGGGTGCCTGGGTGGCTCATTCGGTTAAGCATCTGGCTTTGGTTCAGGTCATGATCTCACGGTTCGTGCGTTCAAGCCCTGTGTCAGGCTCTGTGCTGACAGCTCAGAGCCTGGAGCCTGTTTCAGATTCTGTGTCTCCCTGTCTCTCTGACCCTTCCCTGTTCATGCTCTCTCTCTCTCTCTCTCTCTCTCTCTCTCTCTCTCAGAAATAAATAAAACATTAAAAAAATTTTTTTTAAATGACTCCAGGAAGAGAGAATGGAGAAAATGATGAAAAAAAAATCAAATAAATAATTCATAAATTTTTCCTAGAACTAATGCACATAAACTTTTAGACTGAAAGGGTCAAACAATGTCCAACAAAATGGACAAAGTACATCCAAACCAGGGCATATCAATGTGAAATTTAAAAGCAAGAGGAAAAAAAGAGAAGATCTTGCAAGCTTCTAGGGAGATAAAAAGAAGTTATGTACAATGAGATCAGCAGTGAGAAGAGCACCTGTTGTTCTTCTCATGGTAACAGAAGTTAAAAGGCACCAAAGTAAAGCCTTTAAAATTCTAAAAGAAACAATTGTATAGCCAGTCAACCTATTTATGGAAAAGTATTTTACAAACTGCAAAGGTTCTTATGCACTCTCGGGCATCTATCAGAAGATGTGCTCATACAACATACAACAAAATAAGGGAAATTCGCGGAATTCAGGAAATAGGAAATCCGAAGGTTCTATTTATCAGGTCATATTAAATGGAAAAGTATTTTACAAACTGCAAAGGTTCTTATGCACTCTCGGGCATCTATCAGAAGATGTGCTCATACAACATACAACAAAATAAGGGAAATTCGTGGAATTCAGGAAATAGGAAATCCGAAGGTTCTATTTATCAGGTCATATTAAAAGCGATCATGAGCTTACTGGTTTTAGGAAGATGAAATCCATATGAAGGCTTTCAGTTGCTTTTTGAAATGTTAACATATTTCATATGCTTTCAGATTTGCATAGCTATGCTTTTACAGCAGTCTGAGCATAAAAGAGATTACAAGAGCTTTCGACTCTTACCTGTAGCACAGCAGCAAATAAGTACACTACTATGAAGATGACAGTTAAGGAAGTGTGACCACTTTTCATCAAATGAATAGTGTAGAGGAAAATTAAATGTCCGGGAATGACTAGAAGCAGTAGAACTTGAGCAGACTTATTATTCACTCCTATAACAGAAAATGTACAAGTTCAAACAAAATCGTATTTTGGTTAATAATAGGTCAGTTATTAAAATTTAAGGATTAATTTCTACTTACTATACTGAAAAGCACGGCATAAAATTCCATTGCTGGGGCACCTGGCTGGCTCAGTCGGTTAAGTGTCAGCTCTTGATTTCGGCTCAGGTCATGATCTCACAGTGGGACATGATATCGAGCCCCATGTCACCATTCACCTACCCTCGCTCCCTCCCTTCCCCACTGGGCATGGAGTCTCTTTGAGAGTCTCTCTCTCCCTGTCCCACTGCCCTTTCCCTGACTTCAAGCACCCATATGCACATGCAGGCACCCTGGCTCTCAAAATATAAAAAATAAAAAATTCTGTTGCTAACAATACATTTCAACTTTTCACAATTCACTTAATTCTTTGAAATTCTTACTGTCTGTTATAGGCTAATTAAATGACAGGAAATTGATAAAAACTTGCTATGAAGAACACGGGTCAGATTTTAATGTCTATCATAGTAATGAAGGGAAGGCAAAAGAAAACACATAAAGTTCCTAAAGCTAAGGAATATTTTATTTGTTTAACGTTTATTTATTTTGAGAGAGAGTGAGTGAGCAAGCAGAGGAGATACAGAGAGAGGGAGAGAGAGAGAGATTCCCAAACAGACTCTGAACTTAAACCACAGAGCCTGATACAGGGCTCAAACCCACAAACCATGAGATCATGACCCGGGCTGAAACCGAGTCAGATGCTTAACTGACAACAGTCACTCAGGGGCCCCAGGAATGTTTTAATTTTATTTTCCCTTTAGAGTTCTTCCACTGTTATCATTGAGCATTTCTCATCCTCATTCAAAAGTCAATCATAACCTTTATTTTCATCAAAAAAGAAGTGACAAGAATTGTGAAGTTTAATATCGTGGTCTTAGTTTTTTGTTACTCACTGCCCGAGTGACATAAACAGGGCACTGCTCTTTGTAAGAGAAGTTATCCCTCGCCTTCTCTTTGGAATCAAATGTTTACATTTAGAAAAGCCAAAAGGATTAATACAGTACAGACAGTGTATCTGTCACTCTAGATCAGCTAGCTGTGCTTTTTTCTTGTGTGTTTAAGGTTCCTCTTTCTTGACTCATGAACAAGGTATCCCAGAGAAAAGAATGAAAGAGAAAAAGTATACAAAGCTCCTCAGCAGCTGCAGACTTGATACAAATAACTTTCTGTTCACTGAGACTTCATGAACATAGTCTATTCTATTTAAAATCTATTCAAGTCTTAGGAAAAACACTGTAAAAAAAAAAAAAGGCCATGCAAAACGCTGACAAAATATGTATTCAGCAACTGTTGCCTGCCTATATGCTCAGAGCAGAATTATTCCTGATATAAGATACGCAAAAATCCACAAGCACATACCTGGACCAAAAAAAGTTCTAAACGGGTAGTAACAACCTTTGGGTTCATCAGGCAGTTCTCCTGGAATGCTATGTAAATGGAGGTAGGTAGAAATCCTGCTAGCCTGAATGGCCACCAAATTACCACCGATGCCTGAAACAGAAGGAAAAACAAAGCAGTTATCCTCATATGTTAAACAACTTGCATAAATTCAACCAAAGGCAAGCTTTCTTTGTGTTCTATCCTAGGCCAATAAAAGAAACAAAAAAGAATTCTTCTGAAATGTTGATTTATTTAATATTGAGGTAGATATTCCAAAGGCATAAAGTCATTATTAGGAACGACTCTTGCAATATTTTTTCAAATCTGACTCATTGACTGAAAGCAGACCAGATGAAATAATTTTTTTTTTTAATTACTATCACGGCCAAGGTATAAATCTAGGTAGCGAGATATTTAATACTTATCTCCTTAATGAGAGGAAAAATAAGCTTGATTTAAAAAAAAAAAAAAAAAAACAGACAAGATACTTTTTTGCTCAGGTGACTAAAGAAATTGGTATAAGAGACTGAAAAAATACTCCAGAAAGTTATCTTTTAACCTAGATTATTCACTCAAATACTTTACAGATCTGCCCTATAGGAAACTTTAAGCAATTTGTCTTGGAAAAGGGAACATAAACCCAGATGGAAATATGAAACTACACAAAGAAAAGAAGAATGCTAGAAATGTAAAATATATCAGAAAATAGAAAAGGTATTTTTCTCATTTTTAATCTCTTCAAAGAACATCTGACCATTTAAAGCAAAAGTAATAACAATGTACATAAGGTTTATAACAAAGTAGAATATATGGTGAAAAGAATAGATAAGAAAGAATGAAAATCCAAGTATACTAATGTAAAGTTCTTTTTTATGTAAATGGCTAAATTATTATTTGAAAGCACACTGTGTTAAAGATACATATTATAAACCCTAGAGCAGTAGTTTGCAAAATATGGTCTAGGGTCTGAAGGAAGGTTAATTCTAGAAATTCTAACTCCTTGCTAGCACAAGTCCCAGAGGGAGAGATTCACATTACATATCAGCATGATAAAGATCTGTAAGAAATCCTGTAGTAAAGAAATCTATTTGACCTCATGCTTCCAAAACTGAATGGATAACAAAAACTCACTTTTCAAGTTATACTTATTAATACCTCCTAGAACTAGTATTATTGTGATATGTGCGCACACACGCACACACACACACACTTTAAAGTTTATTCATTTATTTTGAAAGAGAGAAAGCATGAGTCAGGGAGGGTTAGAGAGGGAGAGAGAGAGAGAGATAATCCCAAGCAGGCTCATCATGGTCAGCATGGAGCCCAATATAGCACTCGAACCCACAAACTATGAGATCATGACCTGAACTGAAGTCGGACGCTTAACCAACTGAGCCACCCAAGTACCCTTGAAATATATTTTATAAAATGCTACTCAATGCTGAGAGATGTTAGTGTTAAAAGATGTCCTAGGCAGAATAGCAACAGTGATAGGCCTTACTTTAAGGAAAGTGTGTATTCTTGTATCTAATAAAACAGATAAATGAGCAATTATTTTGAGGGGGAAAAAAATCACAGGCTTTGGAACCAAGCAGATCTGATTTAAAAACTGAGTTACCACTAGATATGAGCTATTGGACAAATTACTTTCTTATTGGGAGGATTAAATGATATGAACGTGCACAAAAGACCTGCAAGTTGTCGGTACACAGTAGGTACTCACTAGTTACCAAATGATGATGGTGATGATGATGATCATGATAAACAGGGGTCCTTTAAATAGTACATCCTCTAGCACATTTAAAATGAAATCAATTCTCAAAAGTTCCGCCTTTTTTGAGGACCATGGAATGAATCTTCTCTATCAATGTTTTTGACGAGTGGAATTTACCATAAAGTGAGCTCCCTGGGATACACAACTAAGAGATTTACTTACTAGGATACAAAAATAGATTCTACTGCCATGTAATACAATGGCTTCCAAGAAGAGCACTTCAGTGAAACTCTGAAATTATTTCTTTTGTAAATAATTTTTGTAAAGTGAAATAACAGAAATACCGATTAAAACCTTACTAATAATGGTATTGTTGTAATTTACATTTTTCCCTGAAATGCTGGACAATACAGCTCTAATGGTATTAGTGGGTAATATTTATGCTAGTGATCTCATCAACTAATATTCATTGAAGAGGATGTGAACAGGTAGAAGAAAAGCAGTAATTGTTCCAGGCAGTAGAAATTCAATCTTTGCAGGACCACAAAATAGGAATCTGGTTAGGAAGATAAAGGAAAAAGTTGTATGCATCCAAGAGCATATAGAGAGCCTTGAAAAGTGAAGCAGATTAATTCAAACTTGATTTGACAGGTAGGAGGAAACCACTGGTAAATTCATCATCTTCAGACTGATGTAATAAAAAGTGTTTAAGGAAGATTCGTCTGTTAGTGACAGTTAATTGGCATTGAATAGGGAGTGGGTCAGGAAAGCTACTCTATTACTTCAATGATGGCTGAAGTGAGATGTTAGCAGACAACAATGCCAGGACTGTTCTTGTTGTATAAATAAGTGAAGAAGTGAACTATGTTAATGGGCGAATAGACAAGGTTAGGTCATTGTCTATTCAAAGAGGATGAAGGGCCAAGTTGATGGTGCCATGATTTTAAGGGTGGATGACAGAGAGGAGAGTGGCACCAGGAAAATCGGGAAGGGCATCCAGAGGGGAAATGTCTTTATAGACAATTTATAGCTACACAAAAATATAAATTTTCAGTTGAAATTTGAGATATGAAGTTAGATTTAGGAGCATTTGCCTTCATAGAACATATTTTCTTACACACACATATAAAAGCAATTTATATTAAATGTGTAGCATAGCTTATGACAGGTTTTCTCTCAGGTAAAATTACTTTTTAAATTATATTGGTGTAGGTTATACTAAAATCCAATTTAATGAGTCAGCCCAAAAGTCAGTAGGACTGCATTAAATTTTCTTATTAAATGGAATTCATACCAAAAACTCTGTGAACCTAAATATTATAATTCCCTTTTTATAGATAAGAAAAAATATATATATAAGGCAGATCCACAGAGGAGTGATAGATGTTAATGGACTGCATTGACCTAACTAACTCTAATTGAGCCACAAAAATTGACAGAAACAGCAACAAAACAGGAGAGCAGAAAAACCCAAAGCCAATGATAATCCAGAACTGAAATATCATATTTTGCAACACTAACCTCAAAAATCAGGTATGACTGATTCTCAAGCTAACATCCAGTGGTAAGAGTGAAAATACAGCTGTTTTCAAAGACATGTTGTGCATACTGAGAGCAGAGACTGTCATTTCTACCATGAACACCACCCTGGGCTTGGAGGGAGAATGGAAGGGAAGGGAAGATACACCTCTTAAAATCTGAAGCCTAAGAGTCCCGTTAGCACCTGAGTATGTAATGATTTGATGCCATCGTGAAACAGTGCATCTAATTCTTACCATTAATAACTGGTGTGTAAACAACAATCCCCACCAGGTTTGGATCAGATACAGTTGTGTCCAGAATAAGGCCCCCAATGCTGAAAGAAAATTGTACAATTTAGGGAAGAGAAAAGAAATGCACTAATTTAAATGCTCTTTATGTACAAACACCTCTACTTTTAAAAACAAAATTTTTCGACATTTAAAAAACAGAATAAGGGGCGCCTGGGTGGCTTAGTCGGGTAAGCGTCTGACTTTCGCTTAGGTCATGATCTCACAGTTCGTGGGTTCGAGCCCCGCGCTGGGCTCTGTGCTGACTGCCATTTCAGAGCCTGAAGCCTGTTTCAGTCTGTGACTCCCTCTCTCTCTGACCCTCCCCTGCTCACGCTGTCTCTCTCTTTCTCTCCTAGAAATAAATAAAACATTTTTAAAAAATTTAAAAAAACCCCACCAGAATGAAAAGGAAAAATATTCAAAGTAAAAATCAATGTCAACAGTGAAATGTTGAAAATAAAACACGGCATAAGCTATAGCCCTCCATTTCAGGGCTCTCTGAACTCCAAGATGTGTTCCTTGTAAAAAGGAAAAGAATATGCTTTAAGTGGCTTAAAATGTCTGGAAGGATGTATAAGAAATTTTTAACGTCTATCTCTGGATGGAGCGGCGGACAAAAGACTGATGGTTATTTAATATCCTTCTGTATTTGCTAATTTTTAAAAACTATATCATTTATTGCTCTTATAATTTAAAAAAAGTCTTTTTTTTTTTTTTTAAGTAAGCTCTAAACCAGATATGGGGCTTGAACTCATGCCTCTGACCCCATGATCAAGAGTTGCATGCTCTACCAACTGAGCCAGTCAGGCAGCCCTAAAAAATAGTTTTTAAAAGAATATTTCTTCATTTATGAATTCAACAAAGCATTAAATGGATCATTTTTATTGTATTAAAACTAGATACAGACATAGCATCTTATCACTGGTAAACTGAAATAATGGGCTGTAGCCATAGAGAGAGCTGATTTTGAGAATGGAGGTCTAGAAAAATAACAGACAGCCACATAGAAGTAGGGCTTATATGTCCTAATGGACCGTGGAGGTTTTTAAGTTTCCAAGACCATCACTAATCAGTTAACATCAGTTTCTTCGTCTAAAGTCCTATAAAACACTGCCAGTCCCAAAACTCCCTGGGATCCTACTACCTAAATCTTCCAGGAAAATTCAACCTACATTACAGAAAAATAAACTACATGTTATCAGAGAATGGAGTTGATTGTCAAAATATCAGATCAAAATATTCTTACCACTACTCGACAATTAACATTACAAATTGTTAAATCTTTATCAATTTTTTTGGAAAATAAATGAATTGTGGCTTAATATGCCTAAATTACTAGGATTTCCCATTAAAAGTTACACTGTAGGGGCACCTGGATGGCTTAGTCGGTTTTGGCTCTGGTCACGATCTCACGGTTTTGTGGGTTTGAGCCCCGCATCAACACATCAGGCTCTGTCAGCACAGAGCCTGCTTGGGTTTCTCTCTCCCTCTCTCTCTCTGCCTCTACCTCACTTGTACTATCCATGTCTTTCTCAAAATAAATAAACTAAAAAATTTTTTTAAAAATTAAAGTTACACTGTAAAGTCCAAGAATAGTCATCCTTAGCAGTATTTTAGTATTTTAAGCTCTAGGGGCATCTGGGTGGCTCAGACCTAAGCATCTGACTTCAGTTCAGGTCATGATCTCATGGTTCGTGAGTTCAACCCCGCGTCAGGCTCTGTGCTGACAGCTCAGAGCCTGGAACTTGCTTCGGGTTCTGTGTCTCCCTCTCTTTCTGCCCCTCCCCTGCTCACACTTTGTCTCTCTGTCTCTCAAAAATAAATTAACGTTAAGAAAATTTTTTTTAATAAAAAATATTTTAAGTTCTAATTTAACTATATATATATATATATTTCATAGAACTAGTTATGTATCAAAGAAAAATCTATGTGCCAAAACAGGTAAGTTCATGGTGTGACTGTAACATGAATATTTGCTAAAATGCACATTAAAATGTTTTCATGACCCAGATAACAAGATATAGAAAAGTTAGAAAATACAAACAAAAAGAAGAAGATAAAAATCAACTATCGTGACATTATTCAGTTACACTGTTAGCATGTTGGTAGCTAGCCTCCCAGACATTTTTAAACACTTAGATTTTTAAATTTTTTTTAATGTTTTTATTTATTTGAGAGAGAGAGACAGCATGGGCAGGGGAGGGTCAGAGAGAAAAGGGGATACAGAATCTGAAGCAAGCTCCAGGCTCTGAGCTGTCAGCACAGGGCCCGATGCAGGGCTCGAACCCACGAACCATGAGATCATGACCTGAGCCAAAGTCGGACGCTTAACCGACTGAGCCATTCACGCACCCCAAAACACTTAGATTTTTAAAAATGAAAACTCACATTGCAAAAGTAGTTCTCTCTTCACTTTTATCAAATTCTGTTTTTATCAAATAAACACATGTACATTATTTAAAAAGTTAAAGTGCCACAAAGCCTATTAAATAGCCCCTGGCCCCCACCCCCAGAACCTGTTCTACACCAGCTAAGTTTTTTCAACTTCTTTAGCTGTTTCCTCTGGCAGTTAATTTTATATTTCCAAATAACACATTTATACTGTGATTTCTTAATTTTAATTTTAGACATTTACCTAACAACCTCCACTATGACGGATGAGGATTTGGTCTCGCTTGCCCTTCCCTCCCCACCTCAGCCCATTCATAAATCCCTTCCTCCCATACCCTGCTAACTGGGTTCTATAGTTCTGGTTGGAGCACTTAGGGTTTACCTTATTGTAACAATGGAATCATTATTCACAATGGAGCCACCAAGTGTTATTAGATTTCCTCACTTTTCCATGTTGCTCTGTCCTATATTTTTCCTAATTTTTTAGGTACTTATTACTAATCCAGCCTCAAATTTCTAACAAAGTTAGTGAAATGCCTTTGAATAAGTCAAAGTCTTCTGGTAACCAATCAATTCTGCTTTTTTTTTTTTTCCTTAGAGACATTTCTCCTCAAGCCCACTGTTCCCCTGCCACCCTGGACAGTTGCTTGTAGGCCTGATACACAGCTGTCAACCTGCACCTTCTCTTCAATCTCCCACACTGGGTCTTTGGATCTCTGAACAAGTCCCAACGTTTCATAGAAGCCTACTGCCCGAATCTTCCAGGAAAAAAGCAATCTACATCATAGAAAACTGAACCACATGCTCTCATGGAACGGGTTTCCTCATTCCCATGTCAGTTTCTTTCTTGATTTACTTCCTCATTTTGATAGACTATATCTTCTACCAGCTTTCCTGTGAAAGGGCATACAGGAAGCAAAGTTTTTGAGATCCTGCATGACTGAAAACCTCCTGATGCCACCCTTGTATTTGGTTGACACTGCAACCCTATTTTATCTTCAAAATAATTTCCCTTCAGAATTTTCTTGAAGGAATAACTTCAGGTGATGCTACTGGACATCATTCAGATTCCCAGTGCTTTATATGTAACTCATCTTTTCTCTCCAGGAGATTTTGGGATTTACAGTAGATTTATGATTCGGGTCCCTCCTTGTATTCACTGTGCTTGGTACTAAGTGGGCCATTTCAACCTAGAAGCCCATGGTCTTCAGTCCTGGGGAATTTTCTTGCATTATTTCTTTGATAATTTCTTCTTATTGTTTTCCTCCCATTTCCCACCTCTTTGTTTTCTGTTCTATTTTCCAGAATAGTTCCTCAACTCTATCTTCTAACTTTTCTCCTGAGTTGTTCTGTTGTTGTTTCTCCTATTTATTTATATTCTTAATTCCCAAGAGCTCTTCCTGCTTTTCCATATCCTCCTTATTAGAGCATTCTGTTCTTACATTATGGATGCCACAGATTCTCTTATTGCTTTAAGGGCAATGATGAGAGTTTTTTTGAGGTCTTTCAACTATCCCTGTACTTTCTTTGAGTACCATTTCTCTGGTCTCTGTCTTTCTTGTTAGAAGCCTTAATCAAATGTCTGGTGATCCTTTTACTGTCTGCTCCTCTGTAAAGGGCACTGCAGAGCTCACTCCTCAGCAGGTGAGTCTCTCGAAGAATGGTCAGGGGAGCATATAGCTCTTTCACTCAAGGACCCACAAGAGTCAGCAACCACAAGTTTTTCTCTAGTGCTGATCAGTCACCCCAGAAAGGAATTATTCTAATTTTCTTCCTGGGGGTATAGGCCTGACTGCCAGCATTCCATGAGCAAAGAAAAAGAAGTAGGATAGGGTTTTCACTGTTCAGCATCTAGATTTTCACTTAATCCTACTTTTCATACAGTGCTTAATCCACACCCTCACTTGTGCAGGTGTTTCTTAATCCACAGCTTCTCTGATTTAGTCTCTCCAGATTTAATTCTTGTCTTCTGCCAAGGTGGGAAGGGGGCAGTCACTTGGGTGGTCAAGCTGGAGAAGGGCTTTTAGAATCTAATTGCCTCTCACATAAACTTTCAACCAATCTTCTCCATTTCAGCTTTGAGGAGTACTTAGTGCCTCTAATTTCTTCATGTTTCTGGGTTTCTGGGTTTCTGAGAGTTAGATCAGCTCACTTCCAACGGGTGTCCCCTCACCCTGCAGGAGGTTAGGTGTTAGCTTTTTCCATTCTGGTGGTTCAGTTCAAAGTCATCCATCTGATTCCTATTTTACTAATTTTGTTGAATCTCTCACCTGCTCTCCTCTCTGTGCCCCTTCTGCCTTTGTGGTTTTATAGCTTTCTGTTCTATTACTGTCATTTTAGTAGTTTCAGGAAGGAAGAAGATAAATGTGTGTCAATATACCATGTTTAACAGGAAATTCATACTCTTTTCTAGCTGGCTCTTTTCACCAAAGGCATAATGAACATCTTTCCATGTCAATAAAAACACTGCCGTGTTATTTTTAGTGGCTAATATTCCATTTTGTGACTATACTATAATTTTTTTGATCACTACCTGCTTAGTTGCTAAGACCTCTAAGGCGGTCTCTCTCTTTTTTTGTTATTAAATTTTCCACTGTGATGAGGATCCTTACAACTTAATCATTTGCATATATCCTTAATTATGTCCTTATGTTCTGTCAAAGTTCTAGAAGTGGAAGTAGTCAAATGGTACATCCATTTCTAAGGCTGTCTGATACATGAGCAACTTACCATTAAAAATAAATAATGTCAGGTTAACACACACACACACACACACACACACACATACATACATACATGAACACTAAACCTTACTCATCAGTCTGGTAAAGATTTGGAGAAAAATTTGAAACTGGTAGACAAATGAGGTATGTCTAACTCATTCCAAGAAGTCCTGTGACTAATAACTCTACTACATGTGATAATAAAGACTTGGCTATATAAAATGATTGATCCAAGAAATAAAAATAGGCTGCTGATGTTTTAATGTATACACAGATGCAGGCATATAGAACACACACACACACACACACACACACACACACACACACATTAATACTAACCTACTTATAACCATAGCTGTTATAACAGGCTCCCAGCCTGAGTGGAGAACAGTCCTTGTGGCTGGATGTTTGGCAGCTATTATAATCCAGATAGGTGTTAAAGCCAAGAAGAAGACACCAACTAATGGAGAAATGTAGTAATACCTCTCTAAAATTAAAAAGGAGACAACATTTCAATTTCTCTTCTAACCACAGAGCAAACATAGATATCAAAAGTAAAAGTTTCCCAGAAGATAGGATGTTATCCAACATATTCACATGCTATATCTTCTATAAACATCAAACAAATTTAAAACCATAGATAAGGTAAAAATATTAGACAATTTAACCATAAACTAATATATTAGTTCAACAAACATTTATTGAATTAGTTAACTGAGCTAGATGAGAATTGCAATAATAATAATAATAATAAAATAGTAGGAATGACAAGAGTAGAAAAGCTAACATTTATTTGGCTTCTATTATTTACCAAGTACTGTGCTAAATGCTTTCTAGTCATCATCTCATGTGACTGTCCTCACAAATGTGAGACAGATACTGTCATTGGTATTTTATGAAGAAAACTGAAGCTTAAGAACATGGCTAAGAGAAAGCAAGAATGGGGAGAAAAAGGCACCTGACACCAAAGTTAGTACTCTTAACTCTCAAGTCAAATGGGGTATTGTTTTTACCCACAAAGCTCTTACAGTACAAGCATTCCAAGGAATATTGGCCAATCAATTGATAACAGATATTCTCCCAATACTTCTGACTAGTGTTCCAATCTCCAAAATAAAATAGAAATACTAAGTTTAACAAAGTTAAACACATTTCTTCACTGTTGAACTTCTCAGAACCCTTAATATGCTAAGACAGAATATAGTACACTGTGTTAACCAAAGGTTGGCCAGACCCCATAGTTTCACATCTAAATGTTACAACTTACTGTGGACAAGAAATTTAACTTCTATAAACTTCAATTTCCTTACCCATAAAATGGCAATAATAACAGTATCTATTTCATGGCGTTATTGTGAGTCTTAAGAGAATTAGTACACACAAGTAGAATAGTGCCCAGGCACCTAGCTTATATTTATTGGACACTTACTATTGTCATAATTATCATTGCCATTACCAATAACATCTTGCTATTTGGAACACACTGAGATAGAAGATTGCCAGGACTTTGTTAAAACCCCTTTGTGGTAAACTGTTTTACTTGATGACAATTATTCACTCTCTCCACATTCTTGTTATGTTTTCCAATATAGCAAAAATCCTTCTCTGCCTCATTGACTTTGGGCTTAGCTCTTTGTCTTGCTTTGTGGACATGCTGTATATTACCTCTGAACAAAATTTTAAGTGCTTTCAGAAATGACATGGATGGATGATGGATGGATGGATGGATACATAGATAGATAGATAGATAGATAAATAGATAGATAGATAGATAGATAGATGATAGATAGATAGATAGATAGATAGAATGGGTAAATATTTACTGTTTTCAGACAGTAGACACTAGACAATAGGCAATGGAAAACTGTGACCCCTGAGAGAAGGGATAGAAATGAGATAAGCCCTCCAACAGCCTCAGCTCTTTGACTTAAGGCACATTCCAGACCACAGCTCAGGAAGGGAAAACTCGAGCAGAGTGATGCTAGGGCAACAGGAATTCATAGAACAAAATACTAGAGAAGAGGAAGCTCTCAGAGAAAGAGCTCGTGAACTGAATACTAAGCCATGCATGCATAGAGGGAACTCCACAAGGCTAGTCCAAGAATAACTGGGGAGTCATAAACTGAAAACTTCCCAGAGTTTACAAAGGGCTGGAAGTCATTCAAGAGCTAATCTTGTAGAGAAGACAGTCCTCTTTGAACACTAAGAAGATTTAGTAAAGACCTGAGAATGGTCCCATCTTAGTAGTAGGGCCAGCCCCAGCGTAAAGTCTACTCAAGATGGGCTCCAATAACGCTTGATACCATGCCTTGTAAGGCTAGAGCTAATCCACGATTAACTGCCTACCAGAATAAAATCAAACACTTTGCAAAGAAAAACAGAACAATTGAGCACTCAATGATATTATGTCACAATATCTAGCACACAACCAAAAATTATGTTTAAGTGTTGGGAATAATATTTAGTCACATTTACAAGCTTAAATACTCTGAGATACTCTATTGGCCTTAGACATTTCTCCTGTCTCTCAAAAGTCTCCACGAACTTATGACAATCTTTATAAATCTAGCAAATTAAATGTACAAATACAGCAAGTCTTCACGTTTTCATAAATTTTCATATAATGCATACAAATTTGGGAATATTTATATTTAAAATCACAAGAATAAGTCAATTACTTAATTACAAATTTAAGACAGAATTAGAAGACTGACATGTTTTTCTAATGGGCGAAGTTACAAGTATATTAAAAAAAAATCCATGTTTTGCCTCTTCAGCATAAAACCATTAATACCATGAGTCTGATTCCCAAATATTTTTATAGTCAATTCTAAATATCCTCAGGGATACAAGTTGCCTACCCCTTCTTAAATCAGTGACACGATCTCAAAACAGTTTTGTAATATCATTTTAGCTGACCAAGGTTTTATTATTATAAGAGATTTCAGCCAGGACATTCCTGGATTCTTCTCAATGATTCTAATAATTACTATGTACAGTAGAGGCCTCACCTTATAACTTAAAGACAGACTTGAGCTCACAGTCCTTGTAGTGAATAGTCTTAGATTTTAGTTAAACGTTACTAAATCTTTCAGCATCACATAAAATTCTTCAATCCTTATCCAGACTCTTATCTTTGAATTCTATATTTCCTCATCTTAAAATATTTAAAGATCTTCTTGCCTATGATTAAAGATGTTTGAACTAGATCAATTTTTTTTCCTAATAGGTAGGAACAATTACTATAAATATTAAAATAATATCCAACCAAAATTTCTCATGGTTTTAGCTAGATCACATCTTCAAAATAATTATGCTAACAAAATCCATTATTTTCTTCCATTTGAAGGGACATGACTAATGCTACACAGAGTGTCATTTTCTCCATGAATTTTTATAAAAGATTGAAAAAAATAACTTTACTGAATGGATTCCCAGTTTTCCTTGTTAAAACATTAGATAAGGATAAACAACATCCCAGTTAGAAGGCATTCTTACCTCTTAAAACAACTAAGGTTGCCAAAATCTCTTTATAGGATCGAAGAGAAAACTAAAGGCAAAATCCACTAACCACAAATGAAAAGAACTATTCTGCTAAGTCAGATCATCTTAGTACTTCATTTTTAGGCCAAAAAAGGAGCACGATGCTCAGCATTTGAGTTCTTCTCAACATTAAATCTCTGGAAGGACGTCTGCCGTTGCAAGAGGCACCTACCGACTCAACCCCAGGGTCACTGCTAGAACTTTCAAAGCGGGGGGAAAATTTCTCAGTAAATCAACTAAAAATAATGAGTGGGCAATTCCTCAAAAAGCTAAACAAAGTTATCATATGACCCAGAAATTCCACTGCTAGGTAACTACCAAGAGAACTGAAGACATATGTTCATACAAAAATTTGTACAAGAATGTTCATAGCAGCATTTTTCATAATAACCGAAAGTGGAAGGAACCCAAATATCCATGGAATGGTAAGTGGATAAACAAAATGTGGTATAGTCACACAATGTAATATTATTCAGTCCTGATTCATGCTACAATACAGGTGAAACTTGAAAGCATACTCAGTAAAACAAGCTGGACATAAAAGGTCATCCCTTTTGAGGAAAAGTCCAGAATTCGCAAACCCATAGATAATAGATTACTGGTCACAGGGGCTGGGCAAAGAGTAGAATGGGGAGTGACAGCTAACAGTTTCTTTATTAGGTGATGAAAATCTTCTGGAATAGAAAATAGGTTCTATTAACAGTAGGTTGTACAATCTTATGAACGTACTAGAAACCACTGAACTGTATACTTTTAAAAGGTGAATTGTGTGGAATGTGAATTGTATCTCAATTTTTAAAAATTCTAATAATGAAAAAAAGGAGGGGGAACTACAGTCTTCAAAAATGTCAGTGCCCTGGGGTACCTGGGTAGCTCACTCGGTTGAGCATTTGATTCAGCTTAGGTCATGATCTCAGGGTCATGGGATCAAGCCCTGTGTCAGGCTCCGTGTCCGGTGTGGGAACCTGCTTGGAATTCTCTCTCCCTTTCCCTCTGCTCCTCCTCAGCTTGTGCTCTCTAAAAAAAAAAAAAAAAAAAAAGAGGGGCACCTGGATGGTTCAGTTGGTTAAGTGTCTGACTTCAGCTCAGGTCATGATCTCACTGTTTGTGGGTTCGAGCCCCACATCAGGCTCTGTGCTGAACGCTTGCTTGGAGCCTGGAGCCTGTTTTGGATTCTGTGTCTCCTTCTCTCTGCCCCTCCCCGCTCATACTCTGTCTCTTTCTCTATCTCTCTCAAAAATAAATAAACGTAAAAAAAAGAAAGAAAGAAAGAAAGAGAGAAAGAAAGAAAGAAAGAAAGAAAGAAAAAAGTCAATGTCCTAAAGACAAAGAAAAAATATATACATATATACATACATATAGAGAGAGACAGAGACAGAGAATAAAAAACAAAGCAAATGGGGTAAAATGTTAACATTAAGTGAATCTGGGTCCGGGTATGCAAGATTTTTAATATTATTTTAATTTTTGCAGCTATTGTATAAGCTTAAAATTATCTCCAACTACAAAGAAAATTTAAACATTAAAAAGGTAGGAAAACCATGATAAAATAAAAATTACTAAAACTGATTTACTGTAACCCATTACTATCTCAATGTCCTGAGAAATCTAACATGCCCATTCCCCCCAAATTATGATTATATAGGACCTTCCTATCTTTTTCCTGGCTAACATCTAACTCAATTCTGATGGCTAAGGAAAAATTACAAATATAAGAAAAGGGAAGACTCTAAAACATTTCTCTTTGTAGGATATATTGGTGTTTTATAGATGTCATAAAATTAAGGACTTACTTTCAGAAAAACACGAAGGACACAATCGGCCAGAGAAAATGCTCGATTAAAAGCCAACCACGAACTTCTGCATTAATATCAAAATCTAAAATAATGTCTTCCTTCTATATGAAATACATTTAAATAATCCTAGTCAAAATGATATTTTGTATTAATTTCTAGGTAGATCACAATGGGTGTTTTCATAGGGTGAAATCCACACCCTAATCCTAGAACCTCTGGATATTACCTTATAGGGCAAAAGAGGCTTTGCAGGTGTGATTGAGTCAAGTGTTTTGAAACGCAATTATTCTGGATTATTAGGGTGAGCCCAAAATGTGATCATGGGTGTCCTCCCAGGCAGCAGTGATAGGGAGATCTGACTTGAGAAGAGCAGGCAGTGTGACCACAGAGGCAGAGACTGAGTCATGCAGCTACAAGCCAAGGAATCCCAGAAGCTGCCGGACGATCAGAGACAAGCAAAGGAATTTTCCCCCGAAATCTTCAGAAGAAACCAGCTCTGTGGACACCTTGATTCGGGGTCTGTTTGAGTCATGTTAGACTGCTGGCCTCCATAACTGTGAGAAAATTGATTTCTGTTCTTTCACAGACTTTGCGGTAATTTGTTCTAGCGCAATAGGAAATGAATACAGGTGTACAGAGAAAGCTTCGCGAATTTTAAGCCTAATAAATGTCTGCGTGCATTAGTATTGATTCTGTGATATAAGTTGACCAGGGCAAAGCAGGGATGAACACAGCTCAAGTGGTTTAAATTGCTATGATTCTACTTAACTACTAAACCTAAGAGCCATCTTTTAGATTCATGGCTTTGATTGTTAGTGGCATTTTGCAACTATTGTGACATAATTTCAATAATATTCATTATTCTCATCTTAAATTATTTTGAAATATATAGGTGCTATGAGTGACATTTTTATGACAGCTCTTTCTGTGTGAGCAACAAAGAAATGGGCATTGTAAGTTGTCGATTGTTTAAATGCCCTCTGCTATAACTATGAGAATTTTCTCACTAACTTCCAGGAATCATAAATTAAGACGGTGCTGAAAACACCTGAAGAAGAGTGACATGCAAGACAGATTTAGATTCTACTCATATCGTCACTCATATCAAGGCCATGATATTCTAGAACATCCTGTAAATAACTAGCTGGCATCCCTGCTAGCTTCCACAGCCTGAAGCAACCTGAGGCTGATCGTTATTGTCCTTATGGCTTCAACTAAGTCATCTTCTTAAAGGTAACCTCAAAGAATGAGAAATCAGTCAACACTGTGCTTCTCAAATCTTGCCTAAAGAAGAAAAGTTGACAGTTTCTCAAATCAATAAAATCAGGTATACATAAGAATTATATAACCATGCAGTTACATTATTTTTTAAATACATTATTTTTTAAATAGCTTTCAAAAATTACTATTGTTTAAACATTACTGTATGAATGAATAAATACCTTTATATTTTCTCAGCAATTCATACCAAAGCGTATCATAGTCCAGAGCTTAGATTACTTTCTAAACTAACTTTGTATTTTCTTTTCTATTTCGAGATCTCTCCTAGCCATATGCTGCCATTTAAATTTTTCCTTAGGGATATTAATCCCCCTGATTCTTTCTGCTAAGGCAAGATATTCTTCCAATATTTCCCTAATACTATGTGGACAAAGAGCTATAATGACCCATAAAATACAAAGAATGTTATAAGAGAAGTATCAATGTAATGCTACAGGAATCCAGAGGAGGAAAAGATCAATTAACATTAGGGAAACGTATGAATGTAGCATTGAAAAATGACAATTCTGACTGGCCTTAACGGAAGGAAAGGGAATGACGTAAGAAAGAGAACACTTGTGGCCAATGTATGAAAATTGGTACTGGCTGAGTCTGGCAGGAGTAACGATCACTGGAAAGTTTCTGCTGACTCCCAGAGGCCTAAACACCAGGCTAAAACTTCAACTTTGTTAAATGAGCAACAAAACCTTAGGTGACAACACAAAATACAGTCAATAGGAATAAACAAAGCTCTGCACTTGTTTTGTCCTTTTTGAGGAGATGAAAAGAGGGAAAATCCCATATTTACTACGAACATTAGAAAACAGCAAATTTTATCAGAACCAAAGGAAAAGTAACAGACTGAATTAACGTAGCATGAGCTTCAGTAACCTGCATCAAAACTAACAAGACAAGAGGGGAGCTATTCAAAGTCATTTCTAAGTATCCATAATTCAAGGCAAGGAACTCAGTGAGACTTTTCTTATTGCCCAGTTCTTTGGGACCTGGGGAGTACACGGCCCCTATTCGTAATGGAAGCCTGTGGCTGCCATGAAATCCTCTTATCTCTAAAGACTGCTAAGTATTCCCAATGCAGTTCAGGAATTAAACTTCGTTTCTAAGAATTAGGCATCTCAGCAGGATGAATGGGGCTTTGGAATTTAAACCAGAACACCACAAATACTATAATGATCTTACGAGGCCCTCTAGTGCTCACAGTGTAGGCAAGTTATAATCAAACACTGACCCCAGAAAAACCCTTCTCTGTTAAATCAACTATGGACTCAATCAGCAGCCCATCAAAAAAATATAGAGAGCACTTTAGGGAAATAAGTGATACAGATAACATGTAACGAGCCTATTTTGATTAATTCATCTTGAATTACATTGAGCCACCTTTCATAAGACAAGTAAAGGCCCAGAAAAGCCTAAGCAGTATTTAATAATAAAATTACTTTTCAAAATAGAAATCATTCTGTTTTGCTTTTTCATTTATTCATCCAGCTAAACTACTAATGTATCACATACAACCCTCAAAATAGTGAAAGCTTTAGATAGCAACACATGATGAAGTCTTTTGTAAGAAGCTCATAACTAGAGAGATTTAAAAAACACACATTTTTTTTTAAGTCAGTACACATTATTTTCCTCAAAAGTTGATTTATCTTCTGGAATATCATAATATTGAGTCTGTATCATTGTAACAATTATATTTATTATGGCATTCTTCAATAGCATTACCTTTCTTACTTTCTTACTCCTGGGACCTCAACTGAGGAGATATCAGCACCTGAGAAATGTGTTACAACTGACTTCATGTTAATTTAGGTTCCCAGGTCTGAAAATAATGTACCTTTCTTTCTGTGTACGTAAGGGAACCCATCCTAGAACCACCTTCCAGCCCCAGCCCCACCCTACCCTCAATGGTCTTGGCAAGACCCATAGAATAATACTAGAAAGAAACCCTTTACCCGCTTCTGCTTCCCCTTTCATTTCTCTTACCTCATCCTCACAGTGGGAGAGACTGACCTAACGGTAAGACTAGGGAAAGGGACATAGCCATGCCTAACTCATCCCTTTTCTCTTTTGGGATCCAGCCTACTGATGACAGCTTCCCTTCCCCAATGCAGTTAACCTGTTCCTCTGGGGAGGTGAGGTCTCCAAGTTGTCCAGCTACCTGCCTGTGAACAGGTGAAGGAGTCTAATACCTTATGCTCTGGGACAGTGTACAATGCACATATCAAAACACTGTGGGTTGACTCCTCCCTGGTTACACACTTAGTGAAGGGGCAGAATTCACAGACCACGAGGCCTGTGTTCAGCCTTCCTACCAGTAGTGGGTAACATGTATAACCTCTATGATCCACAGTTTTCTCATCTGAAATTAGGGATGATAATTCTTACCTTATAGTATAAGAAGAGGGAAAAAAAGGGGGGGGGGGGAATATGAGAACCGCAACACATAGTAGGTATACAACAAATGGCAGTTATTGTTCTAATCAGTCCCAACCACAGTTCTACTGCAGACGAAGGCCACGGGTTCAAGACATTGTTGCAACAATTATTTAAAGAGACTCTGAAGAGCATATTTAATTAATTTTTAATTAATATTTAATATCAAGTCAACTCACCCAGACAGGCGTACAAACCCTGACTTATCCAAGCTAATATGGCAAGAGTTATGAGGTCACCGAAACTAGCAGCAATGGGAGTAGCAACGTTATCAGGGTTTATGCCAGTCTTCTTTGAACCAACGATAACCCCAACCATTATTATTCCTGGAAGAAAGAAAACTCATTACTTTTTATGCTATGATTTAGAGAAAATCAATCCCCTAAATACTGAAATATAAAAGCTAGACAAAGAGTGAGTACATCACTTCCAGTTAGACTGCTTAGATAAGCTGACTAAAGCAAACAAAACATTTTACTCTAATGCTCTGGCAAAATGCCTTTCAGCAAATTCCAGGTAGGGATCATAGAAGATTTGAGAAGTTCAGTGTTGCATTTAGAGACCTGAAAAGCTACTGTAAAATACCTGAAAAGCTACTGTAAAATAACATTCAAGCTAAAGTTTCAAATTTAGTAAGATGTAGGTCTTAGATGTAATGTATTTGTGTATATGTATCAAACCCAAAGATTTTATTTTAACCCTCAAATAAAGAATGAAAATATCAAAGAAAGGCGATTCATATTTATATGCACAGCAATTGGGAAGAAGGCCAACAAAAACAGCTTTGTCTACACGGTGGTAGCCAGAATGCTTGCTTCATTTTGTTATTTGAAAGGATTGAAGTATTAAGAGGGAAGTAATTAAAACTTGAACACTGGAGACCAGAACACAAAAGGCAGTCGTTGTAAAGGATATTCTTTAAACCAAAGATTCTATGAACCTTCAACTAGAGAACAGAAGATGAAAATATGACTGTGTACTTGTTCTCCTAAATATTTTCTTGAATCATAGAAATGGGGAAGGGGAGTGATAACATTTATATCCATACCCAATTGTATAGATTTTCTCATGCCAACATTTAGAGGATGCAGTGCAGGAAATATGTAAGATTAGTTTACTTATATGCTACCCATGGACCAGTATGGAAGCCTAAATATGGCTATGGGGTTGGGGGGATCTGAATCTCACTACATTTTTAGACTGAAAATGACTCAAAATGATTGTATTCTAGTATTACTCATTTTATAGATTAAAAAAAAACTGAGGTCCTGGGAGCAGAGCTTAATTTCTTGTGGAAGGTCAAAGAGCTTGTAAGTAACTTTAGTTCAATGTTTTCTACTACCCCATAAAGCCAAAATTATTAAAAGTAGAATTTTTATCTTGCTTCAAATAATGTCTCACCTCTTATATTCTGGAGATGTTTTCAATCTATAGACTACCTTTCCCATAATATTGTAAAAAGGAAAAAAAAAGCAATAGAAAACAATTTTAAATGTATTATGTAATAATCAAGATGTGATCACAAAGAATTTGTTTTCTATTTTTTTAATGTTTTTTTTTTTTTTTTTTTTGAGAGAGAGAGACAGAGGGATAGAGAGTGAGAGAGCACAAATGGGGGAGGGGCAGAGAGAGAGAGACACAGAATCCAAAGCAGGCTCCAGGCTCTGAGCTATCAGCACAGAGCCTGACACAGGGCTCGAACACACAAAGTGAGATCATGACCTGAGCTGAAGTCAGACACTTAACCAACTGAGCCACCCAGGCACCCCAAATTCTTTTTTCAAAGTCAGCATATTTAAAGATCAACATGGAAATTTTTCCTAGGACAGAATGCCATCCATCTTTTCCACTGAAAACAAATATTTTGCCGTCATGGGCCAGCGAAAAGAGCTGGGAGTGAGGAAACAGGTTTTAATTCTGATTTTCTGCAAACAAGCTGATGAAATTGGACAAGTCACCTTAACTGAGTCAGTTTTCTTACAAAAAGTGGTTAATAGTATCTGCTCTCTCTATATACATAAAGGTCCAACTATCATAAAATTAGAACACACATTATTCAAAGTAACATGCTTTAAGTAAATGTATTTTAAAGGTCTGAATTCTTATGGTTTTGAAAATCCTAGGCAATACCAATAGTTTTTACTTAAAACTTTTAAACAATTATTTATAAATGAAACAAGAGTAGAAAAGAGAAGCAAATGAACTTAAAGAAAAAGAAGCTAATGTTTTAACTTTTTGTGTGTGTTTCTTTATGTTTGAGGGGGTGGGGAGAGATGCAGACAGAGGATCAGAAGCAGGCACTGTGCTGACAGCAGAGAGCTCATCGTGGGACTCGAACTCATGAACCATGAGATCATGACCTGAGCCAGAGTCTGATGCTTAACCAACTGAGCCACCCAGGTACCCCAACTTTTCTTTCAACCAGAAATTAATTTCCCAAAAGCTTAATTTCATCCTGCTTTGGCCAGTGTTAACACCACTTAATTCTCTAGTAATTCTATGTATAGATAAGAAACTACCCTTAATATAATTGAAGTACCAAAACAAAATGCTTGAACATATTTTGAAAGTCAAGTCTTAATCTTAATAAGATTCTCTAAAGTCCCAGAACCTAACCAAAAAAGTTAGCTTAACAGTTGTATATTCACCTGACATAAGAATTTTCTATTTTTTGCCTTGCTGGTGATTTAAGGGTAAGACGATATTTATAAAATAAGAATGACTGATTTCATAATAGGCTAGTTCTCTAATGTTAAGTTCTTAACAAACAGAAAGAATGATATCCCAACTGAAAAATTTTAATGTAGTTAACTTTTTTAAGTTTATTTATTTATTTGTTTTGAGAGGGAGGGAGGGAGGGAGGGGAAGGGGCAGAGAGAGAGAGAGAAGAGAGAGAAGCCCAAGCACGCTCCATGCAGTCAGTTCAGAGACTGATGCAGGGCTTGATCTCACAAACCATGAGACCATGACCTGAGCCGAAATCAAGAGTTGGATACTCAACCAACTGAGCTACCCAGGTGCTCCAAATGTAGTTAATTTTTAAAACTCTGACTCTTTCAAAGTCTAAAGCCAGCAATATACTGTGTTGAGCGTATGGTTATATTTGTATTGCCACAGGAATAGTGGGAAAAATTTTTTGAAATCTGAAAATTTTTTAAAGTTTACAGCTTTTGAAATTCAGAGTTCCTGGGATCCTTGCTACTCAAATGACAAGCCAGTAAGTCCTCTGCATGATTTCCAGAAAGGAGTTTCTCAATTAATTTAATTTACAAAAACTAATGAATATCTAGGCTATTTTCTTGATCTCATTTGGGAATTCTACCAGAGTACCTAATGCCAGGAGACAACCTCAGAAAACCTGTTTTGTTCTAAGGTTTACATACAACAAATATAGGTATATGTGAAATAAGGTATTTTAAAACTTTGTAGATAAATCTTCTCTCCCCCTTGCACTCTTGGTGGGAATGCAGGCTGGTATGGACACTATGGAAAACAGCATGAGGTTTCCTCAAAAAGTTAAAAATAGAACTACCCTATGATGTACCAATTGCACTACTAGGTATTTACCCAAAGAATACAAAAATATTCATTCAAAGGGATACATGCACCCTGATATTTTAGAAGCATTATCTACAATAGTCAAACTATAGAAACAACCAAAGTGTCCATTAACTGAAGGAATAAACAAAGAAGACTGTGGTACATATATACAATGGAATATTATTTAGTCGTAAAAAAGAATGACATCTTGCCATTTGCAACAATGTGGATGGAGGTGGAGGGTATTATGCTAAGCTAAATAAGTCAGAGAAAGACAAAGACAGTATGATTTCACTCACATGTGGAATTTAAGAGATAAAACAAAAGAGCACAGGGAAAAGGGAGAGAGGCAAACCAAGAAACAGACTTAATTACAGGGGACAAACTGATAGTTACCAGAATGGATTTGGGTGGAAGGATGGGTGAAACAAATGAAGGGCCTTAACAGTAAACTTATTGTGATGAGCACTGAGTAACGTACAGAAGTGTTGAATCGCTATATTGTACACCTGAAACCACTATTACCCTGTATGTTAACTAACTGGGACTTACATAAAAACTTAAAAGTTTTTTCTCTGTGGTTCTATAAATGAAGGGGCATAATTTCAAGAAAAATAGTCAACATGGAAAAGAAATTATTTGAAAGTGAAAGGCGGTAGAGTAGCCATTTCTAAATCTACTTACCCTGCAGAAGAGATGCGATGAAGGCCGTGGCCACACTGCTAGAGCACAGGAGTATGGAATGGTCAAGATAGTATTTCCCCTCTGGAATCCAGCCCAGGATAATTGCTGCCACAGCCGCTAGAAAGCCAACCACTGTTGCTTGAACCTAACAATGTTTTTAGAAAGTCCAACTGAATTATTCATTTCAAAAACAGTATTTACTTCTTGATTATGTAAATATGCATACCAAAAATCAGAAGAAAGGATTGCATCTGGTCATTGAGTCGCATTACCTTTTGAAGAAGCCACTCTGTTTTAGTTTTAATATTCCCCCAAGGCAGTGAGTTCTTGAACTGCCACCATCTGGTGCCAGTGGGTATGGGATGGGGTCCAGGAATCTGTTTTTATCAAGCACTCAAAGTGACTTTGACGGTGAAATCCACAGATCATCTGAGAAGATACCGACCGACCTTAAGACTGAAACTGAACCGTGTACCCAATCCACACAACTGAAGTCTGACTTCAGAGGCAGTGCTGGGAAGAGACTGGATTTTATGATCAAATGATAAGAATCTCACTCTTGGCTATCTCACCTAATCTTGTGGCAACTTATTTAAATTAATTTGTCTAGCAAGTAACTTATTTAGAATCTACCACGTACAAGGCGCTATGCTGGGTCTTGGGCCACATAGTAGGCAAAATAGATTTATTCCTTGTTCTCCCTCAGCTCTTATCTATTTTTTAAATTGACATTAAAAAATAACCTCACAGGGGCACCTGGGTGGCTCAGTCGGTAAAGCATCCGACTTTGGCTCAGGTCATGACCTCACAGTTCATGGGTTTGAGCCCCGCCTTAGGCTCCATGCTGACAGCTAGCTCAGAGCCTAGAGCTTGCTTCAGATTCTGTATCTCCCTCTCTCTCTGACCCTCCCCTGCTCATGCTGTCTCTCTCTCTCTCAGAAATAAACAAAAACATTTTAAAAAATTAAAAAAAAAATAACCTCACAGATAACCACAATCATGATCTGTAAAGTGACAACAATATCAAATTTGAAAACTGAGATTTAAATGAGTTACATAAACATAAAAAGTGCTTCCCACAGCACTGGCGCAAAGCAATCCAGCAACTAAAGAATCCAGTAACACTGGGGCACCTGGGTGGCTCAGTTGGTTAAGCGTCTAACTTCGGCTCAGGTCATGATCTCACAGCTCTTGAGTCTGAGCCTCGCATCGGGTTCTGTGCTGACAGCTCAGAGCCTGGAGCCTGTTTCAGCTTCTTTGTCTCCCTCTCTCTCTGCCCCTCCCCTACTTGGCTGTCTCTCTCTCTCTCTCTCTATCTCTCTCTCAAAGGTAAATAAACATTAAAAATAGTAACACTGACCGTGAACTCTAAGAATCCTATTAAGTAGAATGTGAGAATTAAGGAAGCCCTAATGGAACCTAATTCACAGATTCCTAATCGTGCTTGTGTCATGGACTCCTCTGACGATCCGACAAAATCTTTGTAAAGATTCTTTTCTCTATGAAAACACAGTTGTGCTCAATATTTGAGAAGAATTTCTAGGTGCTCACAGTGTGTCTGAAGCCAGTCCATGTACTGGAATCCAGAGCCATCTGTGGCTCCCATTCTGACCAACAGCTTACGGGGAGGGAGGATGACAAGGGAAGGATGCAGACAAAGAACAGAAGGAAAAGTTACACTGAGATAGAAATTACTAGAATGATGTGATGAATAATTTACACTACCACTCAAATTGCTTGGTAAGAGGTTAGAATATTAAAAGACAAATGGAATATATTTTCAAATTTTAATTTGCATATTAATTTATAGAAGGCTGTTTGTTGTTAAATATTTTGATTATTACCCCTGCATAGGTTTCTACAAGTTCAAGCTGGAAAGGATTGTAGACACGTCTAATACAACACTGTGATTTAAAAGAAGGGGGAAGGAAGCCCAGAAAAGTTAAGTAAATTAACAAAGTTTATGCAGCTGCTTAACATTAGAGCTCAGTTTAAATCACAGATTTTCTTATGTCTAACCGTGTGATCTTAGAAGCAGCTAGACAGATATTTTTTTAGGCCAATATTGCAAAAAAATTATTTTATTTCGATGTCTTTGGAATATATTACATGAAATTACTCTTCTGCAACCATGCTTATCAACATGATGTCCTAACTGAGCTAACATTAAAATAGCACTCCGTGAGCCCACTTGCTGGAAGGGACGCAGTCCTGTGACTTGGGCCTAGTAGGAAGTAGTGGAAGAGGAAGAGATCAGCAGTACCTGCAGATAATCCATATATAATCTACAATTTAGTGTATATGTAACTGACAATTTAATGTGTTCATTTACATGAGCTCTAGTAACATTAACAAATTAGGAAAAACTCAAGTTTAAATAAATATATGACCATAATACATAAAAGAGTTAAGTTTAAAGAAGACTTACTTTAAAAAAGGTAGAAAAAAAAAGCACCTAAGCAATGAAGTGCTAAATACTTATTTGTACAGATATTAACTCAAGTACTCAAATTCTGGCTCTATTACATATTTATGATTAAAATTTTATACATATTTTTATATTTTAATTATTTATTTTTTGTATTTGGAAGAACCTGATCAATTCCTAGGGAAAGAAAACTTTTCGAGATCATAGGTATCCATTTATTCTATCACTTTTTCATCGTACTGTATTATTGTTTTGAGCCCCTGAAACAATTAAATGGCAGTCTTTAGAGCACTAGGATTTATTCCATTCTTACAGGTAGCACCCAAGATGTATAAACCCAAGATCTATAAGCAAATATGTGCATCACTTACCTGCTTTAAAGCCAAGTTGCCAATTATTAGGTTCCACTTTTCAATGGGTGAATCCATCTTCCCAATATTTACCTGTTAAGATAGATACTTTCATCACTGACTAATAATCATATGCTTTCAACTCTGTTTCAACAGCATATGAAATCTTAAAGCCAAAGACAATTCTTCAATAAATCTGATGAACTCACATTTTTACTTAATATAAATCTAATTTCACTATCAGCCTTGCATCTCACATTTAGCTTGCACAAGATGTTTAGGAAAAAAAATTTTTTTTTTAAATTTAACTACTAGCTCACAAGAGCTAGTGGACCAGTTAATACTATCCATTTGCCTGCTGTTTACAACTAACATCATCAAATGTCATCCTTACATGTCAAATTTTACATATTGAAGCCCAATACGAATAATTACATAATTTTGAGCTGCTAGCGTTTTATTCCACATCACGAAACTAGTCTAATTTGAAAAATGAGTGACCAGAAAACCCAGGATTAAACAAATCATTTATATGTACATAATTTATAGTTGAGCCATGACTAAAACTGTTAGCAATAAAAAATTCTTCCAGTTCACATATAAATTTTCATTGTGTACTGCACTATTAAAATTTATACATCTTTCTGTTAAATGGAAGAATACCCTCTAAAAAATTGTTATTCAATTGCTCTATAAGCTAAATTATTGCTTCTTAACCATTTAGGATTCAAAACACATATATCCAAATCTGTCGAGTTTTTCTAATGCAATCATTTGGAAAGCAGTGAACAATGTTTATTAATAAAAATCATACCAAGTTGGGTTTCAATTATTCATCAACTGCTCGGTCATGGAAAATAAGTGAACGGGGTAAAGTAGGAGATACATAAGGATTGTTATTTATGAGTAGTTTATGGACAGAGTAGAGTTTAGCTCACTGGCTTCAGACCAGCAGATTAAGTGCTACATCAACATTTCCACTATCAATTTGGAAAACAGATTGTATTCTCAAACCTCCCTCTGGGATCTAGTCCCAAAGTATCCAGCAATGCAAATATTAAGATTTCTCTATTTTTCAGTATAATTATTGAGGCTGCCTTAATTTAGATTTCTTTCCTAAGCCTGGAAATCTACATAATTCATGAAATTTGTGTTTGTAGTTCTAACAACCTGAGTCTTTGCTCCAGGGAGTAATCAGGTGGACATAATGTTTAAAGAGTGAATCTACTTCAGGTTTAATGTTCAAGAAATAGGCATGACAGAAATTAGTGTTAGTTTTAGTAACTTTTAGAAAGAAGTCTATAGGTATAAGAAGCAATCGAAAATGATTCCATGAAAAAGTAGAAGATGTCAAAACTCTAGGATTGCTTGATGATCAGGAGAGGTAGAGACACACATACACTCAGGTCTAGGAAAAGGTCAAGAAAGGTGAGTCACAGAATGGATGGGTGCTGTGAATCAGGTACGCTACTGTGCCAGGTTCACTTGTACCATCGCTATAGTTCCTGCTAAAGCCTGGAGCTACCTTCCTCACAATCGTCTTCTGTAGAGCTACAGGTTACAGTCTGCCAGTGACAGGAGTCTGCCTAAGATCTGGAAGGCAGAACTGAAGGAGAGGCCATTATTTCTGTAACATCTCAGTAGCCAGACATGGTAGGCATCCAGATGTCTACACTGCAATGCACCCATGGTTTTCTTCCCCTTCTCCAGTGTTTCAGGTTATTTCTCTGACCCTTCCATCAGAGATCTTTCTTTCCCCCACATTTGTGTAAGCCCAAATTGCTCTATTAAATTCCTTATCGGCACAATATGTACGATGGCAGTTCTACTGACCAAACCCATACTGGTAGAACATTGTGACGCTATTCAATTGCTCTGTTTTGTAAATGATGAAGATCACAATTTCTAAGTCCCATCCAGATCTATAAGTCTCTGAATCTATAGTTCTTTTACTCTAACATAAATAATAAATAACAAGTTAATGTATGATGTGAAATAACATATATTTTATGAAATATAATCTATAATGTGAATTCACAATGTATTATGTGAAATAAAGTAGAATACGTTCACAAACAAAAATCACCTTTTTTAAAAAATTACACAGCAAAGATTTTTAGAAGGATAAAAACAGAGAGAGAGAGAGAGAAATGTTGATCCAAATTTAACATGTAAGGAAAATACTTATGGTATGGGCATGCATTAGGGGTAGAAGTGTGAGTTTGGCAGGATACTGAAAATAAACCTGTGCTGTCCAAGAATTGGGCTGACCTAACATACTGTCCAGTGGCCTAGGATCAGTATGAACCGTCTCAATTTTTCCACAGTAGAGAGGAAGAAGCACAAAGTGTTCTGTTAAAAGGCTTTTGCTAGATCTACTTTTATTCAATTAGCTGACCTGAAAATCTGGCTAGAAAATCTGAAAAGAATATGATATAGTAGAATGTGATCTGATAAAGACTTCAATATAACCTGGATTAATTTATACGTCTTAAAGTACAAGAAAAATAGGCCAATATTTTTGCAAAGACACTAACGAGTTTTTAAGGAAAGAGTAGAGCTGAGGTGGCTAGAGCCTGAAGATGTTTTGGCCAGTACCATGGTTTTAATTTTTTTAATCTAAATGCCTTAGGTTGAGCCTGCAATCTCTACTTTTTATAATCCCTACACCCTTCTTCATAGATGTATATGTTATTTTTCTGATCCGGAAGCACATGAGTTATAGATAGGTTTTAAAATTTACTGGGACTAAAGAAAAAAGTGGGTTGGAATGACCTTGAAAGTATAGATTTACAAATATAGTTACTATACTTGATATTGGAAAAAATATATTTAATATGTAAATAGATGAAACAAGTGTACTTGAAGTCTCCATTGAAGTATTAGTCTTAAAAATACAGGGGCTCCTGGGTGGCTTAGTCGGTTAAGCTTCTGACTTTCGCTTAGGTCATGATCTCGCGGTTCGTGGGTTCGAGCCCCGTGTCGGGCTCTGTGCTGACTGCCAGCTCAGATCCTGGAGCCTTTTTCAGAGTCTGTGATTCCCTCTCTCTCTGACCCTCCCCTGCTCACGCTGTCTCTCTCTCTCTCTCTCTCTCTCTCCTAGAAATAAATATACACACATACATTAAATATGTGCTCCAGGGGCACCTGGCTGGCTCAGTCAGTTAAGTGACCAACTCCTTGATTTCGGCTTAGGTCATGATCTCATAGTTCATGAGTTTGAGCCCCACATCAGACTCTTTGCTGACAGTACAAAGCCTGCTTGAGATTCTCTGACTCCTCTCTCTCTGCCCCTCCCCTGCTCTTGCTTGCTCCTATGCACACACACACACTCTCCCTCTCCCCCTGCACCTGTATAGTTTAATGGTCAGCCAAAGATTTGAGCAGAATTTATACCCAGATTTTGGGGCTCATTCTTTCTACAGGTTCTACTGCCGCTGGGATATCCCCATAAATTTCTACCTGCTCTGTCAGCTCCAAGCTCTGTTATCTAATAATTCATGACAATAAAAAAAAAAAAAAACTTCAGCTTTCTGCCCCTATACTTATGCATAAGTCACAAAAGGCATTTGATCAACAAAAGCAAAAAACTCACAAATCTTAGCCAGTATATTTGTCTTTCAAGAACAGGTCCCTCTCACGTTTCTGTCTAGTTGTATGTTTTTTGTTTTTTGTTAGACTCCCTGACCTCTGTCACCTCAAACTGGTTAAGACTATGGGGTCTATGCCACATGAGATCCAGGGATTAGGGAAACTCACTCAGGCAAAAAAGTTATAAACTTTGCAATGCTTACTCATTGCAGACGTGGTCCTTCAAGGGGGACCTCTAGTTTCTACCTACTTTTGATCACTTTCTCTTGCCTTCAGTTTGTTAATTGCTGGTAAGTGTCACTCATGACTTCGTTCTGCCAGTAACAGGAATTAGAAACCCTATTATATATTTTTATATGCTTGAAATATTTCATAAAACATAATATGGTAAAACACACCCACACATACATGCACACACACACCCTAATATCTTTCTGAATGTGCAGGGGTGATGCCTAGGCTCATAATCTTGGTTGCAGTAATGGTTTCACATGTACACACTATGGACTGAAACTCTTCAAATTGTGGGCTTTGAATCTGTGTAGTTTATTTGTGTCCATTATACCTCAATAAAGCTTCAAAGGAAGGGGGGAGTTAAAAATCCAGATGACTGAAATGGTTTAGGTTATACATAAGTAGTTCCACTCTACAAAGCTATGGCTATGAATTGGTATTTATAACTTAAGAAACATATTGTAGGGGCACCTGGGTGGTTCAGTCAGTTAAGTGTCTAGCTCTTGATTTCAGCTCACGTCATGATCTCACGGTTCACGAGGTTGAGCCCCATGTCGGGCTCTGGGCTGTCAGCTTGGGATTCTCTCTTTCCCTCTCTCTCTGCCCCTCCTCTACTCATTCTCTCTTGCTCTCTCAAAATAAATAAATAAACATTTAAAAAAATAATGTAAAGAAGCATGCTCTAAAATTGAGAACCAATAGGAGTATGCAAGTTTTGTTTGTATCTAACAATTAGGCTTTCTGACAAGAACCTGTAAAATTGAGAATTATGCCAAATTTAGGAAGGAATACTGAGACTGTAACTACACCAAAGTTATGTCAGAGTTATTAATATCATTACTGGGATTTATTTTTTCTTTATTTTAGAAGTTTTACAATTTGAACTGGAAATCTAACTTACAATTATTAGGGAAAGGTTTTGCCAGCTTCTTCACTGGGATGTAAGCTCAGTGGAGGCAGGAACATTTTCCGTTTTATTTATTGATGATTCCCTAGCACACAATAGCACTTGGCATACCGTAAGGGTTCAGAAGTATTTTCTGAATTAATGAATTAAAAAGCTAAATGTTACAAAGTAACTTCAGAGAATCAAATGAGCTCTCTGAGAAGCGGTTTAAAGCAAAAGAAATCAGGGTTTTTTTAAATTTTTTAATATTTTTAATTTATTTCTGAGAGAGAGAGAGCGCGTGCGAGCAGGGGACAGTCAGAGAGAGAGGGAGACACAGAATCTGAAACAGGCTCCCGGCTCTGAGCTAGCTGTCAGAACA